GCCGAGCTGGGCAATTACCGGTTGAACTTCAGCACGGCGTTCATCGACGCATGCGCCTGGCTCGGTCTGGCGTACGAACTGAAGACGGCCAACGCCAGTCTGGTGGAGAAGCGGTCGCGAAGGACGGGCGATGGCACCAAGCAGCACCACCACCACAATCACCAGCACACGGAGGGTGGCGTCTGGGGATGGGGTGACGAGGATATGGCCGAAGACGACAAACGGATAGCGCAAGTGATCGACTGACGGGCACGACCGCGGCGCACTTCCGGTCGGCGAAACCAATATTTTTATGTTTTTAATTGTATATGTATGTATATATATATATATACATATATATTATATACGTACACATTCCTCCGAAACCACGTGTACACCTATCGATATTATATATAATATACTTACGTGCATACATCAATCATATTATACTCTTCGAGACAACGTCCTCCTAGTTCTTATGGTGTAATTTAATTTTTGTGTGTGTGTGTGTGTGTGTGTGTGTGTACTGGAAGTATATGCAACTAAATGTACTAGTGTTATTGTATTTGTATTATTATTATTGTTTTTTTGTGTGTATACAGATTTAAAAAAAAATCTATGTCAAATAAAGTTTTTTTTTTAATCCTCATAATTTGTATTGTGTATTTTATTTGTATTGTTATTTATATATATACCTATTTTTGTACATTATTTTATATAACCTAACCTAACCTAATGCTGTAGGTAATATTTATATTATGTTGACATACAACTTTTTAGGTATAGAAAACCACATCTATGCATGCACAATATTGTTATAATATCAGTGGTGCTGATTAAACATTTTACAGTATATGTATACACTATATATATAGTAGGTACCTAACCCGATGATATTCGATATTCGGCTCATTTGTCCCGAGAATGCATTTTTTTTCTATTCAATTATATTGTCCATTCAATATTCATAATCATTAAGATCCGTATAAGAAGTGGGGACGRTGGAAGCTTTGCTTTCACATAATTATAAACCATAATTATTCAATATAATCAAATTTAAATAGCGTTTCGAAACAAAAAGTACCTAACCACTTAAATTTAAATGTTATTTCAATACCAAAGAGCTGTACGTTAGGTTAGGTTATAKGTATTAACAAATCGAATATATCTTTRTCGTTTAAGTGTGTAACAACATATTATTGTGCATCATGATTTCAATATAACGACAAATAAAAATTGTGATTTTTGTGAAACTATTAAGAACAATGTATATTTATATAAGACTTGGTCATTACAAAGTCAACATTATTTTAAATAAACGTTCAAAATAGTAAAAATACTGATTTTACATACCTACTAACGTTGTCACGTTGATGATAATATTAATTCCAATTGTACTTGATGAGAACGTTTGTAGTAATCATTATTATTAAAAATATTAATTGGGTATACGTTTTCTATAGTCAAACTTTATTATTGAATAAATAKAAAACGTATACCCAATTAATATTTTTAATAATAATGATTACTACAAACGTTTTCATGGGGTATGTGAAATGGCATCTGAAACATGTTTGTATAGGTATTTTTATTTTTATAATCTCGAAATCAGATTCTAGAGAATTTTGCATTTTGTGATATGTATTTTTTTTTCATCTGGTTCATTAAACATTTATATCGTTACGCGTAATATTTCTATGTCATATTATTAGGCATATAAGACTATTTTGTTTCGTCAATATGACATTGTGATATTATGCATTGTAGTTTAAGTCCAAACGCTTTGAAACTTTGAAAGGTACAACACAATTTCCACGATCCTGATGTATTCTTACCGTCAAAGTACCCAAATAATATTATGAATCTGGGAGTTAGTGGATCCGACCGAGTACAATGAACCCGAGTCGGTTGCAAATAAAAGTAATAATTATATCGAAATTCAATCGGTGCAGAGACTGCAGTTTATTCGATGAAGCAAATAAGTGGCACCAAGTAATAATAATCTGATTTGGCGACAGCAGCTGTAAACCGTGCAAAACACGTATGTACAGTCAATACGATATTATGATGATCATAATTCATAATATTATATTATACATAAATTATTTTCAATAAAACTCGTGTTTTTTTTTTTTTCTATTCGATTAGTTTACGCCTAACCGAGAGTGGTGTGTATAATAGCTTGCCGATCGAACTATTGTAATAAGTACCATATTATAATATATTATACAATGGATGTTTCAGCGAGTTCTGCTTTACGTTATAATTATTATTATTRTCTTCGATTATTGGCATGCACGCCTCAACGCCGATTAATTAACGCCCACCRCGTCTATAACTCTGTATGTGATATATACATATTATAGATTATACCGACTGATTTAGTTCCAGCCAGAACTATACTTGGCGTTTTCTTTCGGTCCTAAATAGCAATAAACATTAAATAACTCGAATTTCTCCTCAGTATGTTCCGTCGCAGCGCTGCAGGTTTTCAATACTCCGGTAAACGTATGGTATACGCGTGCACCGTGGGCAGGTAGGTATATATACACACATATTTTTACCTTGACATTTTAATGGCGGCTGCAATTTATAACATCTCCGCGTTTTATTTGTTTTGCTTACATATTATATTATACCCAACAACACACACACGATGCTCATTCCGCATTTAGGTGTATATATATATGTATATGTATATTATATATATATATATAAGTATATAAATTGCATTTGAAAAAATAAATCTTTATTCGACACGATAAATCATATTTGATTGCCGTGCGAATGACAATAATTATTGTTATCAAATCGTGGTTTTCAGTTTAAAATATCATACTCGTCAAACAAGTACCGTAATTGTATATGCGTATATAATGTGATACTGTACAACAAGTATATGAGATTGAACCGTTATAAAACTTAATAATAATCGTCATCTCGTTTTGTCCGCGGGCCTTTAACATAATATTGTACTTTTTTCCACACTTGATTTATGGCTTCCATCACCTCGACGCAAACGCTTAAGTGGCGCATCRCCATTATTATGGAACCGAAATGTAAATAATAAACTGACTTATTGTCGTAACCGAGAGAAATTCTGTTTCAAATGCTTACATAATAGATGTATAGATGTATAGGTACTAAATGGTTCGTGTAAAATTGCAATAAGTTTATTGTTATATCAATCATTTATTTTGAATTTTAGATGAAATATCATAATAATAGTGTTATAGGTACCTACCAGTTTTAAATTGCAATTTCTAGTAATGTGATAACGTTCCAGATAATTAAAATTATGTATTAAAAATGTACCTATGTCATTTTTATATTTCTTACCGTTTCATCAAAAATTTTGTCTAGCAAGTTTTAAAATCGTGATGGATTCACAAAAAATATAATAGTATAATGAGTAGGTACTTACCTAAACTCTTTAAAAATGTTTTTTAATTGTTATTTTCCGACCTCTGTTAACGGCATAAATTAATTTTTCGGCTTGTAAAACAAACTTTCGTACATTTAAAACATCTGTAGATGAAAAATTGAACGCGCGCAACTGTACATTTTTCAAGGAAATCGTAATTGATCCATAAAAATAAATATTAAAGTTATTACATAAATGGAAAACACCGTTTTTAAGAATTCGGAGACTGCGGACTATAATTAATTTTCTCAAAAAATAAAATAAAATAAAGATCAGTTTCTTTATATACAATTTTTATGTTTTGATTCGATTTCATACGCTTAATATGACAATATTATAATATAATATTACTTAACTCTAAGTTTCAAATAATTGATCCGAATTTTCTTCTATTACAATACGAGCACATAATCATATTATATTATAATATACAGGTGGACAAGAATCAGCGGATGAAAATTAACAAAGTCATCTRGCAAAACAATCTGGGCCATAAATTAATATATGCAATTACAATATTATTATACTCATATTACATTTTCAATTTTCTTATATAAAGCAAACTATTAACACAAATAGAACGGATGTTTTTAAAACGTTCGATGGCTTGTATATCTCACAATGCAATGCGATATAACCGTRTAGATATAACTGTAATTTATGACAATAATATTATGCACTGTGTGCCTACCATATTATTATATACCTAGGTAGTAAGTTYTGCGCCAAAAATTAAGGTATATCACCAGCTGTGCGCGGTTACCAATTTAATATTATGTTTATGATGAGAGAGACAGMGATTAACAACGTCCGATCGTAAATATCCGTACTGCGAATATAATATTATTGTAATGTTTCGTTGAGATTTTAGAGACAACACGTATTATTTTATTTTGCGACGATATCTTGTAAAATATCAGATTATTATAGTTTGGTCTTCTGAGACTGGCCGACGTAATATCGTTATAATATTTTGTTCGTTACAAAATACGATTCGAGCCCGAAATCAATAAGCCTACCGAACGAAAGAGTTCGGTTCGTATGAAATCATCGCGTGCCTAAATATTATATAATATYCTGTGACAGTATACATGCTATTGTCGTATCCGGTCTTTCGCACACACACACACACACATATATATACTACCAAAACGCCCTAAACGCATATTATATTAAGTTCGGTTGGCCCGTTTGCACTAGCTGGAATTTTAAACACTCGAGTCATACGAATAATGTTGCGAATTATTAATCTAACACAGTTTTAGATCGTTTGTGTCTCGTCCGTTTTGGATTCACGCGAGGCTACGACTGTTCGAGAAGACGCATACGAAACAACGAATTGATCATATTACACGACGATATCCATTGAGCATAATTTAAAATAGTAATAATAATAATAATATTCTAATTCTTAGATAATATTTTTTCGTAACATAATACACGTGTACATATAATTATATATAAAATAGGTACATACTATATTATTAAACGTAAGTATAGGTACAGTACGTTAATTTCAACATTTAACACACACACATACACACACACACACATACACGCATGCACACACACTCACACGCGTGTTAAATAATAATAATAATGATATAATAATAATAATCGTAACGTCAATAATAACGTAATGACGTATGATCATATTATACATTGTAATAAATTAATKTTTATGAAGTCTTATAGTCCCGCGTGTGCGCCGTTTCCGGTTGCTCTCGCCAGCTTCCGTCGCCGTGATTGACGGCCACCTGCTGGACGAGCTGCTTGGACGGCTCTTTGAGATCGTACGCCCAACCGATGCTGGCGAACAGGTCTAGCCACAGGGTGGTCGTGTTCAACAGGTATCCACCGATTTCGGCCGCCCTGTAGTCCCACGGGAACACGTGATGATAGTTGTGCCAACCCTCGCCCATGGCCAAGATGGACACCATCACGTTCTGCGCCGGTTGAATGCGTCTGTGAAACGGGTAAAAACGAAGGCGGTAAGTTTTCGACGGGCGCGTGTATTGGTAACACGTATTTCGTCGCGTGTCTTTTTTTCATTAGTGTATATTGAGCGATGATTTCCTGGGTGGGGATGTGGGGTTGAGTGAGCCTGTGAGATCACTGTAGATGTGACTTAAACACAACGTGCGATCAGTGATCACTACTACAAGTGTTTGATACGAATAAGCGAAACAGTTGAATTCGTCAAAAAATAGGAAACCGTTCAGTCTGAATGATTATATAGAAATGGCGATTAAAAGTGATACGATAATTAATTATTTTAAGTATTATTATTAATACGATCGAGGCTAAATTGTTGATTTTTGAAATTAAAACAAATACGTTATCATGTATTTTAACACTAATTTTATGTTCAATGTTGACGTTTTAAAAATAAAAAAACTTAAAAATTAAGTGAGAAAACGTGTGCTGTTCAAAAATTTTGCAGAAAGGTGTCTATAATCGCCAAATCTAACTAACACTCTGTCTACCATTCCGCTTCGCCTAAATATAGCCCCCTCCCCCAAACCCTACGAGAAGCGGACCGACATTGTGAATGTACCATTATCTGCAGGAACACGCCGGTTAAATAATAAATTCGTTTTATTTACTTGTCATACGGCTTGCTTCCCCAGATGTGAGCCACGCTGTTGACGGACCACGTGAAGTTCAAGTTCAACACGTACCGGACAATGGCCACTGAGCTGATGGCTTCCACCCAGTTTTCATCCCAACCGTACACCGGTATCAAAACTGGTATGATGAAACAAAACAACATCTTGAACAGTAAAAAGTGTCTGAAACGATAAAAAAAATATATATAATATATTATAAATTATTGTGACTCCCGTTTTGCTGCGATCGTATAGTAAGTTGTGATATTGTTTTATTGCACCGTTGACGCGTCGTGGCCGAAATATTTTCTAAAGTCAAAACGAATCGATAGCAAAATATATTATTTTAAAATGTATCACATTACGAACTCACTGTCATTTTGAAAATTTTGCTAAGCGTAATTTATTGTATGGAACACTGATCGGCGATGAAACGTAATATTTTAATATAAATTATGTTATTACATCACCTTCGGGTAAACATATTATACCGGTCCATTACAAGATATTTAATTATCAGAGTCGTGTCACACACCGTGCAGGACACCGCTGGTTTCATTACCAACGATCGTTTTCCTGTAAAGTACTTATTCTCAACCATTGGTGCTACCGACGTATTATACCAAAATAATGTGAATCAAACACAAAAAAACCAAAAATTATTAATTTATTAATTTCAACGTGTTTAATTTTACTCAGTGGTTTTAAAATTAAACTAGAATGGTATTTTCACCGAARTATAAAAGTCTGATATTTGGCTTAGAAACTGAATAAACTCAAGCAATATTTGGGTCCCTTCCAGAACGACCAGAACGCTGATGACATGTATAAAATATAAAAAATCCTATTAAATTATACAAGGAGTTTAAATACTACCGTTAATACGAGTCTTATGACTCATAAAAAAGATAACAAGACTAAGTAAATAAATATACGTATTATTATWTCTTTAAAAACAATCTGTCTAGAAATCTGAGCCCAAAACGACTTTATACAAAATATAATTTAGACTTCGATACTGAAAATTTCTTAGACACGCCCTAGGTAATTTAATATAACATATTATTCGATGAGATTTAAAAAAAAAAAAAGGTTAGATGATATTTTGACATGATATATTGAAAACAATACGAATTTTTAATCAGAGACATAGTAAATAATTAATTACTTTGATATTTTTACGCGGAATCCGTGAGCCACGTGGTCTACAAACATTTTGGATAAACCTTATGCATGTTTTGGGTTAACCGATCTGTGGGCTGTGGACTAATGTCCGAAGTACCTAAGTACCTATATCATAATAATTATTGACGTATGCACTCGGTAGACAAAATATAAAATTGTAATTATATAACTTTGTGTGCGACAGTCATACCCGAGACCATATACCTTTGTGCCTATATTGTGCTAATACTATAGTTTGTTACACACTCGTTTTGTATAAGATCAAATTAATAACAAAATACTCCGATTGGTGTATAAGTCATGTCTGTCGTCTGTGTAAAACATGCCGGGAAACCAAACGTCTTAACACGTTGACCGACATATGTACATTATTTGTATACGGTAAAATTTGCGTTTATTTTTAGGTTTTTTTTTTGTATATTAATTGTCGCACAAAAATTGGTCAAAATAAAAATTAGATTTTTACAGAACCAACAGTCGAGCACAGTGTTCGCTTAAAATACTGCAGAAATGGTCTTATAGGGACCGCGAGATTCATATTCCTATCTATAGAATCAACAGTGTTATACCGTGTCGGGATTTTGCACACAGAGATGGCGAGTTAAAAAATGTTCGAAATTCAAACGAGTTTGATTATTCATGGCGTGTACACAACAAACGTACCGCAAATGGCCTTCTGGGTGCAATATGCGTGAAAAAAGTAGGTGGCAGCTGCAGTTAACGTGTTAACCCTTGTCTCTATTATAATATTATGGTATGTCGTTGACGCGTGCACTCACTTGGTGTGAAACTGCACCAGTGGATCGTTGTTGATGTCTGACATGTCGATGGTCTTGCCTCGTTTGTAGACGTCTGGGTGTTTGCGCTGCATCAGCCAACCCACGTGCGAGAAGAAGAAACCCCTGTTGGCGTTGTGCGGGTCGGCGTCCGTCTCGCTGAACTTGTGATGCACTCGGTGATCGCGAACCCAATCCGGTATGTCGTTCTACAACACGTTATAAAATTTTAAAACATTTATCCAAGGCCAGCTCTAGCTTCTTCAGCGCCCAGTGCAAGTATTATTTCGGCGCCCTTTACCCTGTTTTTAAACATATACCCCCTCCTGATTTTGGTACCCTGTGCCGTCGCACTCATTGATCATATCTAAAGCCGGCCTCGTATTTATCAATTTATCATTACCCTATACTCAGTTTAATAATAAATTATTAATACATTATCATAATTGGTCACTTAGCGCTTAATTTTCCACCGATCGGATCGCGTGTTAGGTATAGGAATTCATCAGCCTATTGTTAGGCTTTGTTAATATTATCAGCATTTATAATTGGCAAACCACAAATTATAAATAATAATTAATAATAGTATATATATATATATATATATTATATTACTATTACACAATATATGTAATTATTATGTATACACTATTATAATATAATATAATCTGTGACCATACCATGAAAAAATTATAGAATACGAGAAGTAGGCAAATGAGATTTATTGCAGTCAGAGAAAATCGTAGTAATTATTATTATAAAACGGAAATCGGGGAATAAATTATCATAATTTCGATTTGGATCTGAGTCGTTCGGTATAGATATTGAAAAACTTGATTCTGTGAGTCGATTTAAATTGAATAAATATTTAATAACCCTGCTCGGATTTGAAATTGATTTTCCGAGTTACTAAATACACATTTCAATGTTGAATAAAACATTTGATTAAATTATTAGAAAACCCGTAACAGGCAAAATATATTTACCGAAGCATATAAACGATCATAAACAATTTGGAAGTTACAATTTTAACTAATTTATGAGATTAATGTCAATATAACATACCTGTCCCGATACTGTGTAACACAATAAGAGTATTATTTGTAATGGTAATTTCGCTTTGAACGATCGATGTGTGAAATATCGATGTGCACCGCCGGTTACTCCAAATCCACCAATACCGCCGACTATAAAAGCTGCACCATAAATAAGAATTAAAAAAAAATGAAAATAAAAAAATATCA